ATATTAGTTTCACCTTTTACCTATTATTGGAATAAATGAACTTTTGCATGATATTCTAATTTTTCAAATTTCACCTGTACATAGTAAGGGGAAAGCTTCAATGCCAATTGTAAAGCAAACTTCAGTCCTAATTTTAAAGGAAAACTGTATTTAAATAATAGGTAAAAATGCAAATGGACGCCAATATCCAAAATTTACTTTAAAATTTGAATTTGTTTTATTTCTTGAAATACATAAATTGTTTTCTATACTTATTTTCACATCCGTGTAAATCATCACAAAACATGCCATCCTTTATTACTTTCTACCTTACCACTATACAATTTACACTGTGCACCTTATGTAAACATTATTCTTTACAGAAGGATGCTTCATGTAAGTTGTACATATAAGAGAAAGGGAGTAGGAGGGGGGAGGGGGGGACAATTCCTCACAACAATCTTAATGTCCAAATACTCCACAAGATATTAGGGCATATTTCCTTTAAAGTAAACCAAATTAACTTACCAAATAACATAAAAATCATGCAATTTAGATTTGGCAAAATCTTACCATCTAAAGCTTCTTTTAATTCATTTTTGGTCCATGCAACTTCTGTCATTAAGAGCCGAAGGTAATACATTGCGTGCTCATGTGGCTGTTCAGCTCGAAAGTTGTTAAGTGATCGCATATACTGTTAAAAACAAAAGCCAAGGGAAAATAAATGTAGTTTTTCAATAAACTTCACTGATTTAATCACTTTTATACTCAAAATAAGCATTCAAATAAAATATAGAAGGAACTATGGTTCCTTCTTCATCAAGACATGAAACCAGGAAGTGAGATTGGTTAATAAAACAGCCTTAAAATTGGACAAACATTTTAATGGTCAAAAGGGTGTAGCTGAGGAATCAGGAAATCACTGCAAGGAGTGAAAAATCCATCCTAAGAAACGAGAGGGTGAGCATTTATTATAGCATGGATTCCTAGCCTTTTGCAAACTGAAGGGTTAAGGGTCACAGCTTACATTGCCTACTCAAGTCACTGATTAGTGAAGATCATTCCCTATTAAGTGTTCAGGATTCTAACTTTAGTTTAGAATTATGCATTGTGCCCACCCACCGTCTCGCCCTTTTCAACAGATGTTCATTTTTACAGCACAGAAATAGAACAATTCATGTTTAATGCCTTTCTTTTTTTTTCCATAGATGGGGCATTTGTCATTCTAATAGGATCAAACTTTTCAGATGGCTTACCGCCTCCTTGATAATTTCAAACCGCTTTTCATCGACCTCGAAGGTAGCCATTTTCTCAATGATCTTCTTCAGTAGAATATGTTGCTTGTCATTATAACCTTTTACAGAAAGCTACACAAAGAGAATACATAAGTAGTTGTATACTTTAAGCATCCTTTCCATCCATTCAAAGAAAAGATCTCCAGTAAGAGCAATAGGCACCAATCAACATTGGGGAATCCTCTCCCTCCAATCAATAGAAATCCAGTTTAATCTTTAATTGCACAGCATTACATATATGATGTTGTGATGATTTCTTTCCTTCTCTGAACTTAAACAAGTTGAATTAAACATAGTGGGATTTAGATTAGAATGGAAAATACATTGTACCATGTTGCAGAGTAAAGTTTAATGTGGTGGTATTCAATTGGTTTGTGGGGCAGGAAATAGTATTTTTAAAAAATGATGTTGACATGGTTTGAGAGAAGTAAACAAACTTAGTTTCAAGTAAAGACTAAAAGTACTCTTATTATTTATTACCTTACTATTAGAGTTTAGTTTAGTTTAGTTTTAGTTTAGTTTAGTTTTAGTTTTATTAGTATTTGTAGGCCGCCCTTTTCCCTGAGGGGACTCAGGGCGGCTCACACAAAACCGGGAAGGGGGAATACAAACATAAGATAAGAACATATAATAAAATGGTAGGCAACATACATTCATCATTCGGGAGGGGTAATAAATAATAGGGAGGGGTANAGTCAAGATCACGATCTGATTTTCCTGAGACAGTGTGTGTCAGCCTCTGCCTTGCTGCTGCTTCGGCTGCCATTGAAACGAGGAGGGGGGGGCATGGTATTTGGGAGGGGAATCATTATGTGCTGGAGGAATGTTCTAGAAGCTGTCCTGACCATCTCATTGCGCATGTGGAGGAAGGGAGTTTCCCGCCAAGGTTAACTGTCCAGCATTCCACCCTGATGAGGTTTTTTGAAGATATCTCCCACCTGTCAGTTGGGGGAATTATTATTGGACTATGGACTGGGGTGCCAAGGGGAGGGGATTGAACTATACATGATATTCTTTGCTTTCGCGCCCAATTACCCAGACTCAGCTGTGCTTTGCTACTATTCATTTGTAATTAGTAAACGTACACTTAATTTCAACCAAATGGAGTTGAGTGGTTTCTTTCCTGATTATTAAATGAAGCAGCACCTGAAAGTGGTGAAAGTGGATGCAACGTTCTTCTGTTCTGGAAGGGCCATTAAATAGGAGACAGGTTGCAAAGTGAGAATCCTATAGAGAGGACATATGAAGGTTCATAGATTAGAGACTTCAATTTCAGATAGCTCTAAGAAGAGGATATTGTTGTATTTTCCTTCTAGCATCACTGATATAGAGCATTAAAATGAACTAGGAAGAAAGCTCTGCAGTGGCTTAAATGCATAATATCAAATAGGAAATTTGTTAGCATAAGCAGCTTTCAGTTGATCCCCAATTCACAGAGTTTAATAAAAGCTTCCCTGATATTTTGGGGAGATCTATATCTAGATCACTTTTTTAAAAAAAAATTCAGCTTTGCCCTAACAAGTTCCAAGTCAAGAAACATTTTGCTTTGGAAAGTGAAATCGACTTCTATCCTGTAGTTGGACCTTCCAGGTTGAAATCAAATTATTACAGTGTAGTAGAGCAAGCAAATAATTTCTTATAAAACAATTTGTGCCAATGTATTGAATTAGCAAATACAAGCACAAATTGTAAGGGAGACTAACCCAGACACAGCATGGGACTTAAATAAAGCTCTTACTGGATTGGGTGGTTGCCATTTAGCTTTTTGCAGATGCACACTGGGATCTCTGTAGCATCTCGGAAATTATTTCACATTTGAAGATCTTAATAGTCACTAATAGCCTTCTTGGGTACAATCTATGAGTTTCTGTCAGCTTTTCAATGGCTGTCCTAATTTGTTCCCTCCATGAACTAGAGGAATGAAAAGTTATTTTGAAGATCTGCCTTGCTCCATTAATTTTTTATTCATTTGCCAACAAATTTATAGCACAGGACTCCCTTTGGAAAAAAATGGGGGGGGGGATGCAATCATAATTTTGGAGTTGCTTTTCCTTATCTCAATAGGTTGCTAAGGTTTAAAGAGTCTCCTGGCTCAGGAATTTGTGCAGTAGAAGAGATAGCTGCTTCATCAGCATCAACTGTATATATTAATTGTTTTGGGAAAGTGAAACTGACTTTTGGTGAAATGTTAAGGGGAAGACAAACCAAAGGTAGCCTTGTTCTATTCTTGTTTTGGAATTCAGCTTGTAGAGCAATGGTTATCAACCTTTCCTTTACCACAGACCAGAGATGATATTCAGCAGGTTCTGACCAGTTCTGGAGAACTGGCAGCAGAAATTTTGAGTAGTTCAGAGAACCGGTAGATACCACCTCTGACTGGCCCCGCCCCCATCTATTCTCTGCCTCCCGAGTCCCAGACGATTGGGAGCAAGTGGGAATGGAGATTTTACAGCATCTGTCCCGTCACGCCCAACAAGCCACACCCACAGAACCAGTAGTAAAAAAATTGAATCCCACCATTGCCCTAGATCCCCATTTAGGGTCATGGACCCCTCAAGATTTAAATCATAATCTTTCTTCAAGCCTTCGCGAACCTCCTGTGACAACATCATGGCTCCCCTGCGATCCACGGACCACAGCTTGAGAACCACTGCTCAAACTGTGATTTGAGGACTGAACCAATCTCTCTGAGGGAGATAAGCTTGAGAGGAAATTGGGGACTTTGTGGTGATGGTTAAAACAGGTAGAAAATACAGCAGCAGAAACAATAATGTGCACTATGCAATTAGCATGTTACAACTCTGCTCGGTGAACTACACGGATTGCCAGTATGCACCCTTATCAATGTTCTCCTTTTTTCTCTCTTGGTGGGATCCAACAAAGAAGCTTCTGTAATAAGGGGTAATTTAGGAATTAGAAGTTTAAGAACCACTGACCTAAAGCACTTCAATAAAGTCTTATATTTTTTTGTATGTAATCTCTTATATGTTTGGTGATATATCTGGAGAACTCTAGGGTTCAAACCTCCCAGACAATTCAAGGGGTAATGATCTGGCCTGAATGCTCCAACAGTCATAGAACAGAAGGAATAGGAATGAAATGGAATATTCTTTCTTGGTCAAGTGGGATTGGACACAAAGCATTTGTCTCCAGTGCATAAGCTCTCAATGTACATACAAGCAATAAAGTGATGACTCATACATCATAAGATACAATCATAAATCATAAGATACAACCAACAAAGTCATAAGGTACAATAGGAGTAGGTAATAGGAAAGATGAGAAAGATAATAATTGATAGACTCAATAATCATCTTTTATCAGAAGCTCCTTGGGCATTCAAAAGAGTGTCAGAATGTACCTTTTTCAAATTGTTAAAGCAGGGAGATTATTTCTAAAGTTCTCATGGCCACTTCAGAAGCTTCTTGAAGCAATTTCCACATGTTTAAGCACACATGTTCACTTGAAAAATATTGGGATAAAAGCATTTAGATAAAGAAGAACTAGCTTGATTGGCTTTAGCATTTTAAACAAAGAGGCATCCTGGAAGAGATAACATTGTGGGATAAGTGGAAAAAAAGTATTATTCAAAAGTATTTGACCTGGGCTTGATGAGTTCATTATCTGGAAACCCATTTTTGATTGGATTACACCTAATTACACAAACGAGATCTCTTGAGTCCTGGGAGTCGGTAAGATATTGCAATGTTTTCTCTGACTTTTTTCCCCGGGATCAGGTTGTGAGAAGTTACTTGAGCTATTTTGTTCATATTGAATATGTCTGGTCTAATGAAAAGGACTAGGGAAGACAGGTTGCAGTGTTCCAATATTTTTTTGAAAAAGTTTTTTTTAATTTTTTGTTCTCTATATACAATTATAGGTATATATTCACAAAGTTATTATTCTTTTTTACATTCGTCGTTCTTATACATTTGTCATTCCATTTATAGGGTTATAATATACCAGTTGGGTTGCTTTGTTTACCATCGCTTCCCAGTTTTGACACCACTTTCTTTTCCCTTCTCTACTTTCTTCCTTCCTCTCTCCTTTCCCTTCCTTCTTTCATTACCTCTCCCCTATTCCTCTCTTCCTCTTCCCCTTCCTGCTCTCTCCTTCTCCCTTCCATCTTTCTTTCCACACTTCTAGCTTCCTTCCCTCCTCTTTCTCTCATCTCCTTCTCTCTTCCTTTCTTTTTCTATTGTTGTAGGTGTCTCTTCCAGCGCTTAATTTTTATTTTCTTGGGGTGGTATTTCTGCAGACCCCAAAAATAGTTGAATATAATTTCTTGTTCCATTTCCTTCTCAAACCTGTCTTGATTGTGTTTTCTTCCCTTTTGTATCTTACTTTTGAATATATACTTATATATTATTATTTTCTTCCCTATTTCCCCTCCTTTTCCCCCCTTTTCTACTTAATGGCATATCATCTGGGTTCCATATCTTCCCCTTACTCTTTTCTGTATGTCTTTCTCTAACCCTTCATAAAATCTTCCCATGTCTTGAAGTACAGCGATTCCTCTTTATCTTTTATTTTCAAAGTCAATCTGTTCATCTCTGCAGTCTAGATTTTTTTTAATTATCTCCTCTTCTGTTGGTACCTTATTTAGTTTCCAATTTTGAGGGTTAAGAAAGGAGAATATAAATTACAAGCATTCACTGATGATTTGGTTCACTATGGAAGACCCAATAGAAACAGGGCCAAAACTAATTGGAATAAGAGAGGAGTATGGAGAAATAGCGGGTTTGAAGATTAATAAAGATAAAACAAAAATCTTGGTGAAAAATATAATAGAAAAACAGAAAAGAAAACTAATGGGAAAGTTGGATGTACAGGTGGTGAAAAAAGTATAATACTTGGATATCTATTTGACATCAAGATGTGTAACAACAAAGGAGAATAACTATTATAAGGTGAGAAAACAAATAGAAATAGATTTAGAAAGATGGAAAAACTTACAATTATCACTAATGGGAAGAATAGTGGTAAAAAAGATGAACGTATTACCAAGAATATTATACATATTTCAAACGATACCAATAAAACTAGAGAAAAATATTTTGAAAGTATGAACAAAATAGTGGGGAAATATATATGGAAAGGGAAAAAAAGGCAAGAATCAACATAAAAATGTTGCAAGATGTAAGAGCTCGAGGTGGGTTTGGATTGCCAAATTGGGAACTGTATTATCAAGCAGCGGTATTAACTTGGATGAAGGAATGGATTGTATTGAGAAATGCAAGACTTTCACA